CTGTTCTTATTGTACATAAACGATATAGTCCACACGAGCACACTCGTCAAATGCAACTTATTTGCAGACGATAGTATTCTCTATGCCAGCAGATCAGATCTTCATTCCTTGATGAGAACTATGAACACTGAATTGACTAAAGTCAGGAGCTGAGTAACACGTAATAAGCTGACCTTAAAACTCGAAAATACCCACTACACAATCTTTCACAGAAGGAAAAACCTACCCCCAGATTTGGACCCCCTGTACCTTGGTAATACAGTCCTCAAACATGAACACAATATTAAATTCCTTGGAGTTATTGTTTATGAGAAAATTAGCTAGAGAAACGACATGCACAGTAAAGTGTCAGTCATTCGTCAGTCACTCACTCTTGCAGCAATTAAAAAAATATCATGATCTTGTTTAGTGTTTACCAACACTTCATACACTGTCACACACTATGAAGGGGGCCTCTGGCTCTACAATGACGTACTTGAAAAAAATGATCACACTAACGAACTATTTGCTAAATTGAAAATATTAAAATTCGAGGATATTAACACCTACTGCTGTGCCCTATTTGCTTACAAATCGGTCAATCATTTGATTGCCAATAATTATTTCCAGTTCCTGAATAATCAGAGATACACGCTCCTCTCTGTCCCAAGTGTGGTACAACTTACCCCCAACCCAACCGAGCAAAGACTACGCCCCCTTCATTTAAATCATCTCTAAAGAAATCTCAATTGTCTAAGTTTTAATATTTTTGTAATACCTACTTTATATTCCTACTTTTATTGTACCAACAAAACCATTATATCAGAAATTGGCATGTAGATAGATAGAAATTACCATTGTAATTGTCATATTTGCCGACAAGACATGATACTGACAGCTTCTGTCCACCTTAATACAACCCAGAAAACAACTCCACTGTAAAATATGTATATATTCAATATAAATGTAAAAAAAAATAACGAAGTGATAACCGTGGTAACATTCTGATATGTTCTTATTACCACCATGTTATGTGTACTATTCCAGATGATACTAAATGTTAAATAGTACTTTCTTGAGATAAATGTACAGTATATATCAGGTGCCTTCAAGAGAGCTCAGTCTCTCTACCGGCTCAGCCATGTTAATATTGTTACTATCATCCACTCTGTATCTGTAATTTTCTGGCTAAATAAACTGTTTCAATATCAATATCAATATCTAATGATAAATGATATAATTTCTGCAGTTATTGACTAAACACAGTGAGGGCCAGCACACGTCACCCTACTCTATACAAATGTGTTATAATCAGTAATAGTCCAGTTTGTTAATCATTTATTTTTATTTTTTCAAACCAATTCATTTTTGGAAACTACACGATATAATAAACCAGAAAGCCAATGTTTCCATTTTCCCGGAAGTTTGGATAGTGGTTATGTTGGATTTTCAAAAATGACCTCCCGTGAAGTATCTTTCCCAATATTTCAGCTTCTAACCCACCCAGGGTCTTCATGTTAACATAATCAGGGGCAGATAATCGAATGGTACCAGGCATAATGTGGTACAGCCAATTTAGGGGAGATTATTCTTTTTGTCAAAAATTTTTGACGGTATTAATGTGTACAACACATACAAACATAAACTGTGTCAATACTGTGATGGTGATGTGTGCGTTTATGGTGTGCATCATGAGTGACATGCCTGAACTTGGTCAAGGGGCTCATCATACCCAGGAATCCACGAACTACAAGTTGTGTATTTTGTGTCAATTTCATGACGTGATGATGTGCCATACCTCAGAATAGACTCATACAAGTGATCGTGGGCACGTTCGTGCCCTTGTGAGAGTTTGAACGCTCGTGACAGCGTACATCGAATGAGGGTGTGCCAAGTCAGTAGACTTGCATGGTTAATTAGGGTGCGCCAAGTCCGTAGACGTGCATCTTTTCCATCGTAAATAAAATTGTTAACTAATGCCTTCCTAAAGAAACCATCGACATTGGACCAGGTTTTTTCCACTCTACAAATTTTTTGCGATTTTTCCACCAAGTTTGATGAAAAACGATTGTGCCGTTTCGGCTGCCCAGAATAGACACACAAGCAGATAAACAGACATATGCCTAGTCCTATAGTATATTAGACAAGTGATCGTGGGCACTTCGTGCCCAGTGGCGAGTCCAGTGGTACAGTTTACCAAAGCGTGAAAGCTCGAATGCTCGTGCTTGGCTAGCGCGCAACAGCCGGAAGGCTGGCAGCGTAGAGCAACATCGTTTTCCAGCATAAATAAAATGCTTAATTAATGCCTTCCGAAACAGACCTTCGACATGGGACCAGGTTTGTTCCACTCTGCGAATTTTTTGCGATTTTTCCACCAAGTTTGATGAAAAACGATTGTGCCGTTTCGGCTGCCCAGAACAGACACACACACATGCCTAGTCCTTCAGTATATGAGATAAGCATCTGTTGGAGACAGTTCAAGAAAGAGCCAGTTTTCCTGGTGGCAACTAAAGTTGAAGTACAAAATCGACTACAAGATTGCACGAAAGAAAAACTTTCCATATGGCATCGTACTTGCTACTCCAATGCAACTAACAAGGACCAGATGCATTACCAACTGGATCCTACCCTGCCAAAAACGTGGATATCTCATTAAAGCTCATATATTCATTGGAGATACTGAGCATTTTATTTGAGAAACATATTACAGGATAGACATTTACAAAATCTTCTTCCTTATTCCAGCTTTATGATCTTTTTATTCGAATTTTCAAACTATTAAACGTAACACCCTCGGAAAAATTTACTTGTGTACAACTCAACGATAACAACCTGTGAGTACAACTGTGTGTGTGTGTGTGTGCGTGAGAATTTTGAATTTTGGAATTTTGTCTCTTACAGTGGCTAGTATATTGTGCACCCCATACTCTTCCTGTGAGCGGTAGCGCAAAAGGATTACAGAGTATGGTTTACAAAGGGTCAGAATAAATAACCCCCGTGGTCAGGATATTATGGCACTGAATGTTACACAGTATTTCAAATAAATTATTTGTTTAGTTCTGTACATAAAGGGTAACTTATTCGCAACTTCTTTGAGTACAGGAGTGTGAGGCAGTGTGTTTGGCCTCACACTTTGTTATTCACATTTGCATGAGAAGTATTCAAGCACATTGTGTGTTTGGTTCTATACATGGGAACTGATATAGCTACTAAGTGCAAAAAAGTGGGTACAATCTTAATATGTCGGCTATCTTGCCATTAGATATGAAGTGTTGTACCACTTTACACACAGTGTGCTTGGACCTTTGGACCTGTCCCGAAAAGGTTCTATCTTCACACAGTCGAGGACGTAGTGTTCAAGTGTGTGGCCATATGTCTGGCCAGACACTTTACATTTAGTCTTGTTCACATCTGCTTGAGGGACATACTGCCAGAGGTACTTATATCCCAACCTTATTCTAGCGGTTACATCATCTTGTAATCTAGTGATCTTGTTACTTGCTCCATGTATACATCCTTCACTTGATACATCTCAACATGGTAAACTATGGATCAACTACTGCCTGTTTCCATTTGTCTACTTGTGTCAAATTCATCAATAAGTTCTTTCCTAATTACAGTTTTAAGGGTTCTTTTTGACAGACCCTAATTGCATTCAACAGTGTCTTTGTTAGACGCGAGTTTGGCAAGGGCATCAACTCTGTCATGTTCTTTGAGGCCTATGTGAGAGGGGATCCACAACAGTTTAATCTTGGCACCCCGGTCAACAAGGTATGCATATTTGTGTTTGACTTCAGAGACAAGCGCGTGACAACTTGAGTTGAGGGTGTCAAGGGCAATTAGTGAGGATAGAGAGTCAGTGATGATGAGACTGTCAGTGACAGTGGTTTCAAAGAATTTAATAGCTGTGGGTATGGCAGCGAATTCAGTTTGTAGAGTGGATGCCCAGTTGTTAATTCTAAGTCCTTTCTCAATTGCATTACCATCAGGTTGAGTCACAACAATAACACTTCCAGCCCTCCCACAGGCGGTGTTAAGAGATCCATCAGTGTAGATGGTCTGTGTGATATTATCATCAGTTTGTAGAGTGTGTACTGTATGTGTTCACGAGCTCTCATTTTGGCAGTTTAGAAGCTCCAAAAAAGTTGTTGGTAGCGAAAGGCGTTGCGGGGAAGATGACAGAAGAAGGAGCAGGAGGTTAGGAAGGGAACTGTAGTGGGAGAGATAGAGCCGTGGCTTTACACGACTGCGTTTATTTGGTTAGCGCATAGTGCACGTATTTGGTTTTTGTCTGTGTTGGGTGTTTGATCCTCGGGTCACCACTCCTCCGGATTGTGTTAGTTCCAAGTTTAGAAGCTCCAACAACTTTCCCTGAATAAGAATTCGCAACTTTTCGATTTACAACAGGTACCTACTTACTGCTAGGTACCAAGGAGGCTCGGAAGTTTACACGATCAGTTACCACGTATGGTGGTCGCGCACGCCTCGGATCAGTGGCGAAGCATGGGGTCGGAACAGGGTACACTGCTTTAGTGGACGGCGTGTTTACACGGAACTAGCACACCGTCGTTACCGGTCAGTGTGTGGCAGACTGCTGGGCAAGAGGTTCATGGCTCCCTGACAGACGAGTCGGGGACGGACGGCCGCACTGTTGTGTGTTTTCGCAGCTAGAATGATACTGAAGAAAAAACAAGAAAACGGACTGTGTGAGTGAAACACTGGTTCAGGAACAAGTCGTGTGGTAATTATAACCAAATCTTTACTGAAATGCAGCGTGAGGACACACAGGACGTGCAACGATACATTTGCATGACCCCTGAAATGTACAACACACTCTTGGTTAAAGTACGTCCACATATTTCCAGGGCGGATACAAATATGAGGGACTCTACAGTATAAGTGGCAGGGACCCACGTAGGTGGCCACGCAACTAATAGGCTCCCACACATAACTGCACAGGAAGGGTTGGTGGTTCAGTGTTGCCGTCTACATGATCACTGCCCGAGTACGGCTTCGTTATCATGCTTCGAAAACATGCTCCGAGACTGATCATGTCATCGAGCCCCAACAGTTGCGCGGCCATCTACGTGGGTCCCTGCCACACCACACAGACGCGCAAGTTAAAAGCAACGATGAACGTTGTGCCGTCGCCTACACTTCCTAAGGAGTTAAGGCCACCATTTGAGTGGATAAAGACAGTCTACCACACACTGACCGGCGACGACGGTGTGGCAGTTCCGTGTAAACACACAGTCCACTAAACAGTGGTCAGTACCCTGCTCCGACCCCATGCTTCGCCACTGATCCGAAGCGTGCTCAACCACCATACATGGTAACTGATCGTTTAAACGAGCTCTAACATACAATAGTCTGGGTTTGAAGAGTAATTTTAAGTATTAATGGGTCGTGTCTTTGGTAGAACGATTATCCCTATTTAGCATGACTATACAAACTTGATCCTGTTATGATGCAAGGCTGATGCTGATCAAATTTTCAGTATTCAGAATTTTGCAAGATACACCGTTCCTTTGACAGGATGTTATTCCACCGAGCTAATGTTTGTTCCACCAGTCTGCTTGGATGATTGTCCACCAAGAGTTGGTTTCATTATCAGCAGGCACACCCCATAGAGGCACTCATTCACTGGGTAAAATGGAATGCGTACAAGAGGGTATTGCGGTACTGCACTCCTGACAGTAATCAAACAGACAAACAGGTACTGGGAAACACCAGCACGTTGCCTCACCATCATGTTCGCGACAAAATTCGCAAACCTAAACAAATTAAACGGACAAGACGGACATATTACACTCACATACACCGGTAGAAATTTTTATGTACTTCAAATGTATATTTTTAGACTTTGTTGTTTGAACTATTGAGTTAATCTATATGACAAACAAGTGACAGGGGAGTGACTGTATGTGTGGAAGAAGGAATAGTTGTTGGACGCAGTACTGCACATGTATGCTCATAAAGAGAGTCGTGCCTGCTGGGTAAGGGTGTACAGTAGGAGGAAATTACATTACTAAATGTAAAATACCACCGTCCCTGTCCCCACTCTCCTTGTCCCCACTCTCCATGTTCCCACCCTCCGTGTCCCCGCTCTCCATGTCCCCAGCCACCGTGTCCCAGGTCTCCGTGTTCCCGCTCTCGGTGTCCCCCACCCCCTGTGCCCCCACCCTCTGTGTCCCCACCCTCTGTGTTCCCACCCTCCGTGTTCCCACCCTCCGTGTCACCACTCTGTGTCCCCACAACCCAGCCCCTCCGTGTCCCCTCTCCATGTCCACCCACCCTCCGTGTCACCACTCTCCCGTGTCCCCACCTCACTCTCCGTGCCCCTACCTCCTCCCCACTCTCCATGTCCTCACCCTCTGTCTCCACCCTGTGTTCCCCTCCGTGTCACCACTCTCTGTGTCCCCCAACCTGTGCCCCCACCCCCTACCCTCCTGTCCCCACTCTCCAACCTCCGTGTCCACCTCCGTGTCACCACTCTCGTGTCCCCAACCTGTGCCCCCACTCCCGTGCCCCACCCTCCGTGTCCCCCACTCTCCATCTCCTCACCCTCTGTCTCCACCCTCCGTGTTCCCCACCTCCGTGTCACCACTCTCCGTGTCCCCACACCTGCCCCACTCTCCGTGCCCTCCGTGTCCCCTCCATCTCCCTCACCTCTGTCCCCACCCTACGTGTCCCTGCTCTCTGTGTCTTCACCTCCGTGTCCCCACCCCTGTGTCCCCACCCTGTGCCCCGTGTCCCAACCCTCCGTGTCACCTCTGTGTCCCTGTTCTCCTGTTCCCACCTCCATGTCACCACCCTAAGTGTCACCACCCTCCGTGTCCCCACCGTCCGTGTCACCACTCTCCGTGTCCCTGTTTTGAGTCCCCACCATCTGTGTCCCCCACCTCCGTATCCCCTCCCTCTGTCCCTTCTCTCTATATCCCCACTGTAACCCCACCCCTCGTGTCCCCATGCTCCGTGTCACCACTTTCCTATCCATTTTCTATGGTTTCCCCACCCTCTGTGCCCCCACCCACCGTGTCCCCACCACCCACCGTCCACCACACCCCCGTGTCCCCAACCGCTGTGTCCCCACCATCCGTGTCACCACTCTCCGTATCCTCACTCTCTGTGTAACCCCGTGACCCCATCCTCCGTGTCAACGCCCCGCCGTGTCCCAACCCTCCGAGTCTCCGCACTCCGTGTACTCCACCCCTGTGTCTCCACCCTCTGTGTCCCCACCCCCTGTCCCCACCCTCCGTGTCACTATTCTCCATATCCATGTTCTCCGTGTTCCCACCCACTGTGTCCCCATCCTCCGTGTCACCACCCCCGTGTCCACAGCCTCCGTGTCACCACTCTCCATGTCTCCTGTTCTCCGAATTCCCACCCTCTGTGTCCCCCACCGCACGTGTTCCCACGCTCTGTGTCACCACCCTCCGTGTCCCCACCTTCTGTGTCCCGACCTGTCCTCACCAACCTCCATGTCACCAGCCTCCGTGTCCCCACCACCGTGTCCCCACTGTGTCCCCACGCCGTGCCCCACCCTCTGTGCCCCCCCCCCCCATCCTCCGTATCAACGTCCCGTGTCCCAACCCTCCGTGTCCCCTCCGTGTACCCACCCTGTGTCTCCACCCTCTGTGTCCCCAACCCTCCATCCCCACTCTCTGTGTCCCCACCCCCTGTGTCCCCACCCTCCGTGTCACCACTCTCCGTGTCCCTGTTCTCCGTGTCCCCACCCCCCCGTGTCCCCATCCTCCATATCAACGCCCTGCCGTGTCCCAACCCTCCGTGTCCCGCACTCCGTGTACCCCACCCCACTGTGTCCACACCTCTGTGTCCCCACCCCCGTGTCCCCACTCTCTGTGTCCCCACTGCAACCCCACCCCCCGTGTCCCCACTCGCCGTGTCACCACTCTCCGTGTCCCTGTTGTCCGTCCCCCACCCTGTGTGTCCCCACCTTCCGTGTCCCAACCCTCCGTGGTCCCGACTCCGTGCCCCACCCGCTGTGTCCACACCCTCTGTGTCCCCACCCCCGTGTCCCCACTCGCCGTGTCACCACTCTCCGTGTCGTGTTGTCCCCCCTCCGTGTCCCCACCTCCGTGTCCCCGTGTGTATCCCGCCACCGTGTCCCCACCCTCTGTGTCCCCCCTCGTGTCCCCAACCTCTCTGTCATCGCCCCTTCGTGTCCCACCCTCTGTGTCCCCACCCCCCCATCCCCCACCCTCTGTGTCCCCCCCGTGTCCCCAACCTCTGTCATCCCCTTGTGTCCCCCCACCTCTGTGTCCCCACCTCCCGTGTCCCCACCCCCGTGTCCCACACCCACTCCGTGTCCCCATGTCCCTCCGTGTCCATACCCTTCGTGTCACCATCCTCCGTGTCACCACTCTCTGTGTCCCTGATCTCCCTGTCCCCACCTTTGTGTCACCACCCTCCGTGTCACCACCCGTGTCCCCACCCCTCGTGTCCCCCACCCTCTGTGTCCCCACGCCCCGTGTCCCCACCCTCCGTGTTACCACCCCCAGAGTCCTCACCCCCCCGTGTCCCCTCTCTGTGTCCCCACCCCCGTGTCCCTCACTCCGCATCCCCACCCTCTGTGTCCTCACGCCCCGTGTCCCCACCCTCCATGTCTGCACCCTCCGTGTCACCATCCTCCGTGTCACCACCTCCCGTGTCCCCAATCCATGTCCGCACTCTCCGTGTCACCACCGTACGTGTCACCACCCTCCTTGTCACCACCCCCCCACCCTTCGTGTCCCCATCCTCCGTGTCACCACCCACCGTGTCCGCACCTTCTGTGTCCCAACCCCCTGTGTCACCACCCTCCGTGTCACCACCCTCGTGTCCCCACCCCCATGTCCCCACCCTCTGTGTCCCTAACCCTGTGTCCCCTCTCTGCATTTCCACCCTGTGTCCCCACCCCTGTCCCCACCCTCCGTGTCACCATCCCCTGTGTCCCTACCCTCCGTGTCCGCCCCCGTGTCCCCACCCTCTGTGTCCCCCACCCTTCAGTATCCCTACGCTCTGTGTCCCTAACCCCCGTGTCCCCACCCTCCATGTCACCACTCTCCGAGTCACCACCTCCGTATCCCCACCGTCTGTGTCTCCAACCCCTGTGCCCCCACCCTCCGTGTCACCACTCTCTGTGTCCCTGTTCTCCCTGCCCCACCCTCCGTGTCCCCACCATTCGTGTCACCATCCTCAGTTCCCCCACCCTCCGTGTCACCACTCTCTGTGTCCCTGTTCTCCTGCCTCCTGCCCCCACCCTCCATGTCCCCACCCTTCGTGTCCCCATCACCACTTCCCCTGTTCTCCCTGCCCCACCCTCCGTGTCCCCACCCTTCGTGTCACCCTCCGTTTCCCCACCCTCCGTGTCACCACTCTCTGTGTCCATGTTCTCCCTGTCCCCACCCTTCGTGTCCCCACCTCCGTGTCACCACTCTCTGTGTCCCTGTTCTCCCTGCCCCCACCCTCCGTGACCCCACCCTTCGTGTCACCATCCTCCGTTTCCCCACCCTCCGTGTCACCACTCTCTGTGTCCATGTTCTCCCTGTCCCCACCCTTCGTGTCCCCACCCTCCGTGTCCCCGGGCTTCTGGAGGCAGACAGGTGGAAACACAGGTGGGAGGGATCGTGTTAATCCAGTGACAGCCGCCGGGCCAACCTCCCCACTACTGTCAACATTTTGAAGGAGAAAGGATATATATCATATAAGTATGTAGAAACACACACAAACACACACACAAACACACACACACACACACACACACACACACACACACACACACACACACACACACACACACACACACACACACACACACACAAATATACACACTGCCAGATTAATAAAATCCCGCCAGCGGGTGGGTCCACACCTCGTTGAGACTCGCACCTCCCTATCATATTTTAGTTACCTATCTTCAAAATTATGGAAATCCATAAGGAACAGACACAAGGACACAGATAGAATGCTTTATATTTATGTAAAGAGGTTACTGGTCACTATGGCGTCGCCAACAACAAAAGCAAGTTGTACACACTAACAGTCAATGAAAATAACAGTAACACATAACTTGTATAAATTTAAGTACAGCTTATTACACCTTTGAAACGTATCCTAATCAAATTTACGTTTATTTTTTATTGTTTATATACTGAAGGTGTGGTGAAACAAGGACTAGGCCACAGTTAGCCGCCCATGGGCAACACCACCTCTCTTGCACAAAGATAGTAATCGGTCAGGAAAGGCGAGTATTTGCCGAATTCAACAAAGCCTAAGTTAAATTAAAATATATTTCTATATTTCTCATCTCATAATTCACGATATATATATAAATAAATATATATATATATATAAATATATAAATATAAATATATATAAATATAAATATATATATATATATATATATATATATATATATATATATATATATATATATATATATATATATATATATATATATATATATTATATAGTAAATTTTATCATATATGCTCGATTCCAGTACACAAAGTGAGGATGTGACCAATCTTCTAGCTTCTATACATTGGAGGAACAGTATTACTGATGCCCGTAGAAGCTGGACTGTGCTTAAACTATTATACAGTTTATCATCTGACACACGCACTACAGTCCCTCATATGTATAAATCTCCCCTTGCTCTACATGTATTGTTCCCCTTCCAACGTACATACAGTATACCGTTCCGCTTTTCATTCCCTGGCACACATAAACCAGCTCATACACACATACACAGACTCACCGTACACACAAAGCCTGCCCTCCCATCCTCTGATACACAAACTACACACTGCAGTCCTAAAAACCGATTTCACACACATAAACTAAATACTACTCTCATATAATCCTCTACCACATAAAAAGAGCCTCCGCTCCCTTCTACTGTCACATATTAACTAGAATTTCTACGACTATATTTCCCTCTGAAACAAACATCTCTCTCTCTCTCGCACACTACTACTACTTCTACTAACTGCTGCTGCTGCTGCTGCTGCTGCTGCTGCTGCTGCTGCTGCTGCTCTTCTCTCTGTCACACTACTACTACTATTACGACTACTAATACTACTGTTGCTGCTGCTGCTCTTCTCTCTCTCTCGCGCACTATCTACTACTATTAGTATTACGACCATTCGCCACACCTTCGCCGCCATTTTGACTACTACTGCTGCTGCTGCTGCTGCTACTGCTGTTGAATCTCTCTCTCTCTCTCTCTCTCTCTCTCTCTCTCTCTCTCTCTCTCTCTCTCTCTCTCTCTCTCTCTCTCTCTCTCTCTCTCTCTCGCATACTACTACTACTATTACTATTTTTTTAATCTTTGCCTCCAGCCTCCCCAATAGCCACACCTTCGCCGCCTTTTTGTTACCTTAATACATAAGTAACCATCCTAGCTGTGTTGAGTTAGTTGAGCCGCAGATCTATGCGGCATTCAGTGACTGTTGCCTCATAGTCAATATCTGCAACTGTTGTCGGCTTTGGGGCCGATGCTCTCGTTCCCCTGAGGCAGAGCAAAGCAAACCTAATGAGAGAGAAGGACAGTCGACATCTCAACCAGGTTGTAACATAACATCTGGGCTGCTGCTTCTGTTCGGATAGCACCTCCGTGAATCTGGCGTAGAAGCATCTTGGACTTGGTCCCATCCCACCAGAGGTTGTGAACACCAGAGGAGTGAAGCTGCCTTGATCAACGTTCTGAATTCTTTCCCAATATGCCCTTATCTTGTCGTTCTCGTTCCTCCTGCGTGCAGCATCAAGACCTAAGTTACGGTGACATGCGACCATGGGATAAAAAATCTTGATGTCGAAGAAAGCTCGCTGTCTCCGTGTCCAGAATCCTCGAGCACTGACGTCCACACGGGCTTCGTTAGATGTGTTTGAAGTCTTGTGTTGGAAGATCTCACCATCCAATGGAAGGAGGGTCGATTCTACCATGACATCCCGGCAGATTTCCTTCAACAAATTTGCTGTGAATTAGAGAATCGGTCAAGCTGTGTGGTCTGCAGGGGTGGACTTGGGCTCGGATTACAAGACGTGGCACTGAGGGAAATCACAGTCACAGAGTCACAGATTCACCAGTAAATTGACAAATATATTTACTTAGGTGGGATCACAGATAGATATTGTACTGGTCACGTCACTCACTCGTCACTCACGAATCAGTTTTTCTAGAAATGAGGCTGGCTACTCCTGATATGACCCTGTTTTTCGACGAAAAACACGGAGCTCCCACACACACACGTCGCACGCACCCACGCCATTCCTCAGTTGACTGTATGATGGTATCTCCTCTTAGAGCCTTGAAGCTTGGTATATATAGAGGTCTGATTGGTTCATATAGGAGTTTTCAACAAACATTGCAAAGCTTGAACACTTGATCTTGATGTTGTTTTGTGTAGCCTTGCGGTTGATTTTGTTGAATGCGTTTGAAGCGTCAATCAGGGGTACTGCCTCACAATCACGCTGCTCAAATATCTTTCTCATTGCGTGAATGGCAGTCCCCCATCCCCCAACCTGGTGGCCAGCACATACTTGCAGGTTCCCTGGAGCAGCCCTGACATCATTATTTACCACCTCCATTAAGCATTTTCCTATGATCTGTCTCAGCACTTCCTTCACCCGTAAAGGACTACATCCAGAACTTTTATCTAGGGGTGTGAGGAGGCAGGCAGTCAGGGCATGAAAGTGATGGAAGCAAGAGATAGCAAGCATTTTTTGCAAGGGCGGCGGTAGCAATGCACTTGATGTGTCACCAGACTTGTTAGTGTTGAGGATGACTCTCCAACCGTCTGCATCCAAGCCTGAAGGGACTACTACTACTACTACTACTATGTGGTCTCCAGCCTCCCTCAATAGCCATACCTTTGCTGCCATTTTATTATCTTAAAATTTAATATCCCAATACAAAAGTAGCTACCCTAGCTGAGTTGAATTAGTTGAGCGGCAGATCTATGCGGCATTCAATGACTGTCGCCTCAGAGTCAATATCTGGACCGTTGTCGGCTTTGGGGCAGAAGATCTCGTTCCCCTGAGGCAGAGCAATGCATACCGAAGCAGAGAGAAGGACAGTCGACATCGCAACCAGCCCCTAACATAGCTTCTAGGCTGCTGCTTCCGTTCAGATAACACCTCCGTGAGTCTGGCACAGAAACATCTTTCACTATTGCTACTACTCCTACTACTACTTTTTTTTTTCAACGTGGCCTCCAGCCTCCCCCAATAGGCACACCTTCGCCACCATTTAATTCCCTTAATATTAAATATCCTAATACATAAGTAGCTATCCTATCTGTGTTAAATTAGTTGAGCCGCAGATCTATGTGGCGAGGAAGCGGTCCTGAGTATAATCAGTCATGAGGCGAGTCATCTCCCGAATCATTTCTTTGGTGGCCGCACACTTGGGTGGTTCAAATAAGTAAGCGGGCGACCACTTGACAATTTCTGAATAGGTTTCTTTGACCCATATGTCTGCATTTTCCATCGACATGCCATTCCACTGAGGTGGCTGTCTCTCATTCTCCTCGTGGACATCTGCTACTAAGGGAGCAGCATTTATTAGTACTACATTTTCGGGTTGAGTAGACTCACTGCTATCATTTCGGATATCATCGGGTGGTTGGGTCCCGGCGATATCCACTGTGGCCACCTGTGTCGGCCCCCTGCGACGTGGGTTCCGACACTGGTCTCGCTTCTTGCAATCCACACATGGTCGGTTGTTTCTCGCACAAACACAATTTGTGCAGTTTTGGTTCGGGTTAGCACAGACGCAGCAATGATTGTTACCAGGCATAGTGAACAGCACCTTGCGCGACAGTTAAGTCTGCCTCCGAGCATCTGATTTAGTCCCAGGCACAAGATAATACTGGTTCTTATGAGGGAAGGGCGGAGAGGTGACAGGCTGGACTGCTGTGTCCAGGTAGTAGGGGCATACGTGTGCGCGTGGGTGTGTAGGCTACCCCCACCCCCCAAAGGGCGAGCATCCATACGTCAGAATGATACACTATGGACAAGAATTTGTCACACCAGGCACTTGTTTATATATATACTTGGCACAAATAACCACAATTTATATGGTCTCACTGGTGTAATATCAGTTATATATACTCACTTGGTTCGTCGCGACCCTACATGAAGTGTCCGTTACTATGGTGGGAAGGCGACCGCATGGGAGCACTCTCGGCCCCATAGGGGCGAAAGTCTCGAGACAACCCCTGTCAAAGTAGGCCTATCGACACTGACTTTGGCTCCGAGCCTCACATTATTCCATCTTACCCAGCGCCGCCAGGTGAACACTCGCTTGGTGATCGCCGGTGAACACACGGAATATTTACAATTTATGCCACACCTTCGCCACCATTTAATTCCCTTAATATTAAATATCCTAATACATAAGTAGCTATCCTATCTGTGTTAAATTAGTTGAGCCGCAGATCTATGCGGCATTCAGTGACAGTAGTCTCATAGTCGATATCTGCAACAGTTGCCGGCGTTGGAGCAGAAGCTCTCGTTCCCCTGAGGCAGAGCAAAGCCGACCGAAGGAGAGAGAAAGACAGTCGACATCTCATCCAGACTGTAACATAACTTCTAGGCTGCTGCTTCTGCT